CGAACGCGACGAACGAAACGTTGGTGCGAGCGAGAGCGACGGCAAAAATGGAGGACCGTATCTTTAAGGAGGTAAGATTACATTATTATATTATTATATATTTATAGTGAGTGAGAAACCCGTTGGTGCGAGCGAGAGTGACGGCGCGTACGCGGGAAGAAAAAATGCGCGAATCCCCTCAGTCGCTCGCCAGCTCTCAAGCTCGCCGGATCGTCGTCGTCGCGACGCATCACGCCGTGACGTCACCAGCTCTCACACACATGCGCCCGTGGGGACGGGGGCCTGGGAGGAAAACCGCGAGAGGTGGTGGGAGGCCATAGCAGCTCACATTGGCTGCCCCCTCGCATCACAATACCCCTCTCGCCCAGTTTTCCCCCCGGCCCCTCATCCCGCGGCTTGCCCCGTGGCTTAGAATATACATAGATATGCTACTTACAAGATTAAGTATACCGTCGGTATTCGCGTTATCGGATGTACCACGAGGAAATTGCTTGGTCGGAATTTGCACATCATGGTGCGCGTGCGTGCGTGTGTGCGTAATTCGGGACAAAAGAAGAAAGACTATATAAACATAGGTCCGAAAATAAGTCGAATTATAACCACTTTTTATGTTAAAAAAATTATAATTTAATTCATAAGTACAATCATAATTTATTTCATAGTGTTTCAACATAAATAATTACATTTCAGATTGTTTTGGTGTTACTCAGGATGTACTATGTAGAAGCACAGTTTGCTTGATATCTCTCTTTCTTTCATTTTTTTATTAAAAAATTTTTTTTTATTTTACTGGAAAGAATGTTAAGCAGATTATGCCTTCACGTGGTGCATCCTAGATAACGATAAAATAGTTCGAAATGTATCTATTTATAATACAAAATAGGAGAAATGGCCGTGAAAGTCAAAACTAGAGTCAGAACTTTAATACTTAAATAATTCAATCTGAATTACTGTATATACTAGTATATATATAATAGGTATATTTATATATATATATATAGGTATACTTGGGCATCTGTCAACATAACCCATAGAAAGTCGATTTGTGTCTGCATCATAAAGTTATTCTCGATTGAAAATGTCAATTTACGAGCCAAATTCTCATCATTTGCGGGAGATTTTAATTTTCTGCTTCAATATGAAGAAATCTGCGGCTGAGGCTCATCGAATGCTCTCAAATACTTATACTAATACGGTGAGGCTGCTATTAGTAAAAGAACGTGTCGTGAATGGTTTAAGAACGGTGATTTTGACGTCGAACTGGCATAGGGATGGAAGAGAGAAGGTTTTCGAAGATGCAGAATTGGAGGCATTACTTGATCAAGACTCGTGTCAAAATCAAGAAGAATTAGCACGATCATTGGGAGTAACTCAACAAGCCATTTCAAAACTCTTCAAAGTCATGGGAATGATTCAGAAGCAAGGCAATTGGGTGCCATACGAGTTGAAGCCGAGAGATGTGAACGGCGTTTGTTTGCTTGTGAACAGCTGCTTGAAAAGCAAAGACGGAAAGGATTTCTGCATCGAATTGTGACTGGAGACGAAAAATGGGTTTATTACGATAACTCCAAGCAGAAAATCATGGGGAGTTCCCGACCATGCTTCCAAACCGAACGACGACCAAACCGAATATTCACGGCTCCAAGGTCATGCTCTGTATTTAGTGGGACCAGCTCGGCGTAGTGTAAATATTATGAGCTGTTAAAACCGACTGAAACAATCACAGGCGATCAGTATCGAACGCAATTGA